GTATATGTTCCATTGAACGTTCGACAACAAATGTGGTTTCAGCATGATGAAGCGCCGGCTCACTTTACTGTACAAGTATTGGCTCAGCGGTTTGGGCACCTTTGGATTGCCAGAGGTGGAACAGTTTCTTAGCCTCCTAGGTCACCCGATTTAACGACGCTAGATTTTTTCCTGTGGGGACATGTAAAGTCTTTGGTAGAAACAGAGCAAGACTTAATTGGAAAAATTACAGCAGCATTTGAAATCATTCAAAACGAGTATCAAATTTTTAGTCAAGTCCGTCGAAATCGTGTGCGACCTTTAAATAGGTGTATTCAGGTCGGAGGAAGACATTTTGAACAATGCTTGTGATGATATGATGTACAAAAGGCAAAAATTAAATGCATTAAATCCTATTTGGCAATTCATCGTCTTTCTTAATTTTAACGCGTCTTAGGGCGGTAGTGCCGTAGTGACACTTTTCCGGATATGGGTCCCTATACTCAAATGTTTTCTACTGTTACACTGAATAACCCCTATAAGATTGATCCCTTAGTTCTGAAACACCCATAGAAATCCCCAGATTCGGTCCTGTCTAAAACCAACCGAACGAATTTCTGAAGGCAGGAGCATTTCGGGTTGTTTATTAGCCTTCATCCGGGAAGCTTTTGAATAAAGTAGGAAAACTTTCAAGTCGCGGAGTAGAAGAAGAAGGAAATACCCGATGAGATGGAATTTAAGCTCCAATGAAGGAACATTTCATTCGATGCATTTTCACCCATGGTTGATTATTTTATTCTCCTGAAATGGTGGAAAATTTAAAAGTCAAGAGTACTGAATCGGTATTTGCCCAGATCGAGATAGACGCAGACATCTAAAATTCCGATTTGAGGGTTACCCGGGCAAAATGAACTTCCGGGGCAAAACATAATTAACCAACAATCAGTTGTAAGAAAATCAACATACTTATTGAGCCACCAAAGAGAAAAATTTGTTTTTTCAACAAAGAAATTGATTTTTGATGATAGCTATTGTGCTTATAGTATAATAATATATTATAAAGTAGTTTTGGTGGAAAACATGCAAATTCTTAAATAAGTGTCTTTGGGCAAAGAGGAGGCAGCATAATGGATATTGTATCCGCCCGAATCTTTATTTCCGTTGTTCGTGAATTTAAAATTGGTACGAGGGATGTCTTTTAAGTTTTGCATATATACGTATACTAAGTGACATGTAAATCCGAACACCCAGTTTAAATGGTTTTCTTTTTAATAAAAGTTGGTGAATGTATTTATCTTACTGTAAATAACAAGTGAAAAAATGTTCAGCCTTATCAGTTGGACATTCCGGTTTTTATACTGTTTTTTTTTAATTCACTAACGCTCTAAAATTGAATATTTCAGCCGCAGTAAAGAATCAACGTTGGCGGATTTTGGTTCTTGACATCATTTACGATCGGTTACGATGCCTAGAGTACGGAGACCTGTACGATTTCGTCAACTTAGTAAGTGTGATAGGGACCGTATAGTGGGACTTCGGGAAGCTGGACTTTCTTTTCGGGCAATTGCAGTTAGAGTGCAAAGAAGTGTAGACACGGTGGTTAGGTGTTGTCAGGCATGGCTTCGAGAAGGCCGTACGCAAAGAGCAAGGGGCACTGGACGCCGCCGTAGAAAACAGACCGTGATGATCGCCGCCTAAGATTATTGACCATAAGGGACCGTTTCTCCACTACCAGGTCCATTGCAAATGAATGGTTTGCAGAACACGGAAGACCTATTGGCATGCGAAGTGTTTACCGACGAATGAGAAGTTTTGGCTTATTTTCATACCGGCCACACTGGGTCCTCCCTTTAACTCGAGAACACCGACGTAATCGCCTTGAGTGGTGCAGACAACGGTCACTCTGGGATCAGGAATGGAACAGTACTGTCTTTAGTGACGAGTCTCGATTTTGTTTAGGCATGCACGATAGTCGTACCAGGGTTAGAAGACGACGTGGTGATAGGAGGAATCCACAGTTTTTTGTTGAAAGACATGTTCATCACACTGTTGGAGTTATGGTTTGGGGTGCTATAGCTTATGGTTCCAGGTCACCTTTAATCTTCATCAGAGGTAACATGAACGCGCAGCGTTATATCCACGAAGTTCTAGAACCCCAATTTTTACCCTATCTTGACACCCTGGCAGATCCAACTTTCCAACAAGATAATGCCCGACCACATGTTGCAAGAGTCACAATAGACTTCTTTCAACATAATGATGTCACATTGTTACCATGGCCACCAAGATCTCCCGACTTATCCCCAATTGAGCACGTGTGGGATATGATGCGTAGGAGATTGCTCAATTTGCAACGTCCTCCTCAGACTCTAGAAGCACTTCGAGAGGAGTTGGTGGTTGGCTGGAATGAGATACCACAGGAGGACATTGACCACCTGATCAGAAGCATGCCTAGGCGCGTTGGAGAATGCGTAGCACATCAGGGTGCATCCACACATTATTAAAGGTCAAAGGGCTTTAAAGCAGTGCAATCATTTTGAAATTTTTATCATTTACTTATTATGCTTCATTAAGTACTTATACAAAATTTTATTAAAATAAAACCATTTAAACTGGGTGTTCGGATTTATATGTCACTTAGTATAGAAACATGGTAAGCCGCGCGGATCGAACGTCAGTACTGAATCTTAACCTCACTCTTTAGTAAACTTAAATTCAAAGTTTCACAACGATACGTGCAGTGTTCTCACTACAGGGAATTTTTAAGTGTCACCAAGTCATTAGAAAAATGGAACTCAACTGAGAACATTTTTGCGCCATAATTTATTACAACTTTCAGAGACAATTATCGCAACAAGAATGCCGTGCTGAGTTACTGTCTGTTTTCGGCAACGAAGCGCCACACCAGTCGACAATTTCCCGTTGGTATGGAGAATTCAAACGTGGACGGGTGAGTCTTAGCGACGATTCCAGGGTGGGTGCACCAAAAACGGCAGTCACCCAGGAAAACGTCGATGCTGTGCGCAAACTCATCATTGAAGATAGACATGTGACATATCGCGAGATTGAGGCGTCCTCGAAGATCTGAAAGACCTTAATTCAAAAAAATTTACATGAATAATTAGGAGTAAGAAAAATAGTTTCTCGTTGGATACCCCACCTGTTGACTGAAGAGCAGAAAGCAAGCGGTGTCAAAAAACGCTTGACAGCTTCAATTCCGGAAACTCAAAAAATGTGTACAGCATTGTTAGTGGTGATGAAACGTGGATTTACTGTTATGAACCAGAAAATAAACGACAGTCGGCTGTTTGGGTGTTCCAAGGTGAAGGAAAGCCAACAAAAGTCATCCGTTTTCGAAGTGTTTCGAAAAAGATGGTCGCGACATTTGTGTCAAAAGCGGGTCATATTGCAACGATTCCTCTTAATGAGCAAAGAACTGTTACTGCGGATTGGTATACCACCATTTGTTTGCCAAAAGTCATCACCGAGCTTCGCAAAATCAACCCCGAAAGAAGAATCATCCTATAACAAGACAATGCAAGCTCGCACACAGCCCAAAAAACAAGGCAGTATTTAACGGAAGAAAACGTGGAATTATTGGACCATCCTCCATATAGTCCCGATCTAAGCCCTAACGATATCTTTACTTTCCCGAAAATTAAAATCAGACTGCGTGGTCAAAGGTTCCAGTCAACAGAAGAAGCAGTTGACGCATTCAAAAATGCCGTTTTGGATCTGCCAGCAAACGAGTGGAATAAGTGCTTCGAAAATTGGTTCGAGCGCATGCAGATGTGTATTAATCTTCGTGGACAATACTTCGAAAAACAATAAAGTCATTTAAAACTACCTACCGCGTTGTTTTATTTGCATATGCAAAACTTAAAAGACATCCCTCGTATTTTGGTGCAGATTGTATATAAATATGAAAAGAAAAACAAATCCAGGATCGGTAAACCTTAAATGTGCAGTATCGGTGGTGTAATACTCTTCAAAATTTGGGATCGTTCATAGTTGTTTTGTTCAATATATATCGTAACTTTCTATAAAATTAGGTTCCTGACCATTTGTGTTATGTGTTTACTTCACCCCGAAGTCCAGGCAAAGAAAATAATTTGCATATCTTGGTCAATTGTGATCTATGTTCTTTATAGCTACAACTAAGAATTATTGAATAATTTTTCTAACAGCCAACCAAGATAGTAGCAGAAAGCTTTGAAACTTTGGCCATGTCTCTCCTTATATGAATTCATACGTTCGAGATATTAAGCATTTTTCAATAAAATATTCAAGTTGTGTTACTTTCTTTTGCATGAGATCAAACAACAAATCGCTAGTGTCCTAGGAGCAGCCCTCATTTAGCTATCATGATTTTCTTGTCTACAAAGGAATCACAGTGGATAACTATGCCTCAATCACGACTATTTCTTCTTATCCATAAAACAATGTAATTGATCCATTCTCTATTGATTTTACCTGACAGACGGTACTTCAAAAAATATTTCGAGGGGCAGGTACTTGAATTCTCGTCTCTAGCCGCGGTTCAAGCATGTTTATAGAAACTTTTATCCATGAAAATATAGGAACGGCTTTTTGCTTTCAAGCGACAATTCAAGGGGCAAGTTAAACCATGCGGCCTAAGCGGGCAGGTGTCCCATTCTGTGCTATGCACGCCAAGTGATATCTGCTGTATTTTTTTGCAAAAAACAGACATAATTCGTTCGACCTGACAATTTTTGAAATCTTTAACGCGCAAGAAACCTTTTCGTAGCTTTGATTACGATCCGAAAAATGTATAATGTATATTTAACAGAAGGACAATTCACCGTTAATACAAATAACAATTGCAGTCAAAGGGCCATTACAGGATGTCAATTTCGTTATATTTTTGATGATGTTCCAAATATTTTCTCATAATCCCAATCAATGCGCCTCACTATGTATAATATATGCTGTCATATTTTATTTTTCAATAGATCACTAAGGAGGATCGGTGTAAATGATATAAAAATTTTTCAACTTACCTGACGTACTCATGTTGTGAATTCAAGGATTCCCACGACATAATAATTGGCCCTTGCTAAACCAACCAACCACAAGTCCTGCCGCTCACCCTGCTACCCCCGATACAGCAAAAAATAAAAAACCACCACCGCGGCATTTTTTATACACTAGCACCCCACTTCTCCTTCAGATCGCGAATTTTTAGCACCATCTTATTTCTGTCATTGATTGTTTCAAAAAATAACGGAAGATTAGGAAAAAGGCAACTGAAATTGATGTAAAGACATCCCTTAAAAATAACACACCCCTTTCGCTATAGCATCCAGCCTCCCCTAACAGTATCGCTGGACCAGTTCGGACAGCGTTGCCGGATGTACTTGCCGGAAAATCTCCATTTCCATTCTCTTCTGTTGCTACTTGCGAACGAAACTATATAAGCTTAGCACTGCGGTTCTGTAACAAATAGAAATAGACATTTGCATGCCTCTCAGAGGGAAGGGGCGTTTTGTTACTTCAGGAATTGAAACACACTGGTCTAGCCCAAAATGTATATGTACGAGGCTTAGAGTAAAAGGACCTGTGGTACATAAATTTAAAGGAACGCTACCAACCATGACGAAATGCTGCAATCATTACAGTGGTGAGATAATAATAATAATATACTAAGTGACATATAAATCCGAACACCCAGTTTAAATGGTTTTATTTTAATAAAATTTTGTATAAGTAATTAATGAAGCATAATAAGTAAATGATAAAAATTTCAAAATGATTGCACTGCTTTAAAGCCCTTTGACCTTTAATAATGTGTGGATGCACCCTGATGTGCTACGCATTCTCCAACGTGCCTAGGCATGCTTCTGATCAGGTGGTCAATGACCTCCTGTGGTATCTCATTCCAGGCAACCACCAACTCCTCTCGAAGTGCTTCTAGAGTCTGAGGAGGACGTTGCAAATTGAGCAATCTCCTACCCATCATATCCCACACGTGCTCAATTGGGGATCAGTCGGGAGATCTTGGTGGCCATGGTAACAATGTGACATCATTATGTTGAAAGAAGTCTGTTGTGACTCTTGTAACATGTGGTCGGGCATTATCTTGTTGGAAAGTTGGATCTGCCAGGGTGTCAAGATAGGGTAAAAGATGGGGTTCTAGAACTTCGTGGATATAACGCTGCTCGTTCATGTTACCTCTGATGAAGATTAAAGGTGACCTGGAACCACAAGCTATAGCACCCCAAACCATAACTCCAACAGTGTGATGAACATGTATATCAACAAAAAACTGTGGATTCCTCCTTTCACCACGTCACCTTCTAACCCTGGAACGACCATCGTGCATGCCTAAACAAAATCAAGACTCGTCACTAAAGACAATACTGTTAAATTCCTGATCCCAGAGTCACCGTTGTCTGCACTACTCAAGGCGATTACGTCGGTGTTCTCGAGTTAAAGGGAGGACCCAGTGTGGCCGGTATGAAAACAAGCCAAAACTTCTCATTCGTAGGTAAACACTTCGCATGCCAATAGGTCTTTCGTGTTCTGCAAACCATTCATTTGCAATGGACCTGGTAGTGGAGAAACGGTCCCTTAAGGCCAATAATCTTAGGCGGCGATCTTCACGGTCTGTTGTTCTACGGCGGCGTCCAGTGCCCCTTGCTCTTTGCGTACGGCCTTCTCGAAGCCATGCCTGAGAACACCTAATCACAGTGTCTACACTTCTTTGCACTCTAACTGCAATTGCCCGAAAAGAAAGTCCAGCTTCCCGAAGTCCCACTATACGGTCCCTATCAAACTCACTAAGTTGACGAAATCGTACAGGTCTCCGTACTCTAGGCATCGTAACCGATCGTAAAGGATGTCAAGAACCAAAATCCGCCAACGTTGATTCTTTACTGCGGCTGAAATATTTATTTTTAGAGCGTTAGTGAATTAAAAAAAAGCAGTATAAAAACCGGAATGTTCAACTGATAAGGCTGAAAATTTTTTCACTTGTTATTTACAGTAAGATAAATACATTCACCAACTTTTAGTAAAATAAAACCATTTAAACTGGGTGTTCGGATTTATATGTCACTTAGTATAATAATAATAATAATAATAATAATAGTAATAATAATAATAATAATAATAATAATAATTTTTCAGGGTGATTCTCTCTCTCCATTACTATTTTGTTTGTGTTTGGCACCCTTATCTAGCATGATCAGTAAGCAAGGAGTAGGTTACGAGATCACCGAAAACAACAAAATTAGTCACCAGAAAATAACCGACAGTCCGCTGTTTGGGTGTTCCAAGGTGAAGAAAAGCCAACAAAAGTCATCCGTTCTCGAAGTGTTTCGAAAAAGATGGTCACAACATTTGTGTCAAAAGCGGGTCATATTGCAACAATTCCTCTTAATCAGCAAAGAACTGTTACTGCGGATTGGTATACCACCATTTGTTTGCCAAAAGGCATGACCGAGCTTCGAAAAATCAACCCCGAAAGAAGAATCATCCTCCACCAAGACAATGCAAGCTCGCACACAGCCCAAAAAACAAGGCAGTATTTAACGAAAGAAAACGTAGAATTATTGGACCATCCACCATATAGTCCCGATCTAAGTCCTAACGATATCTTTACTTTCCCGAAAATTAAAAACAGACAGCGTAGTCAAAGGTTCCAGTCACCAGAAGAAGCAGTTGACGCATTCAAAAATGCCGTTTTGGATCTGCCAGCAAACGAGTGGAATAAGTGCTTCGAAAATTGGTTCGAGCGCATGCAGATGTGTATTAATCTTCGTGGAGAATACTTCGAAAAACAATAAAGTCATTTAAAACTACCTACCGTGTTGTTTTATTTCCATATGCAAAACTTAAATATCAAAACAATATGTTATCCCGTTCAGTAGTCTTCCGAGTAATATACAGCCCACCCCACCTATAACCGTTGATTTTTTATTTCATGGTTTGAGCCACATAGTTTGAGCTCAAGTCAGTCAGATACTCACCAATGAAGTCGTCATCATCATTGTGGTATATTAGTGTGTTTCGAGAAACCCCTTCGTAAGAGATATTTCACCAATTTGTGATATATATAATTATATCGTCCACATCATAAGAGCTAAATATACTAAGTGACATATAAATCCGAACACCCAGTTTAAATGGTTTTATTTTAATAAAATTGTGTATAAGTACGTAATGAAGCATAATAAGTAAATGATAAAAATTTCAAAATGATTGCACTGCTTTAAAGCCCTTTGACCTTTAATAATGTGTGGATGCACCCTGATGTGCTACGCATTCTCCATCGCGCCTAGCCATGCTTCTGATCAGGTGGTCAATGTCCTCCTGTGGTATCTCATTCCAGGCAACCACCAACTCCTCTCGAAGTGCTTCTAGAGTCTGAGGAGGACGTTGCAAATTGAGCAATCTCCTACCCATCATATCCCACACGTGCTCAATTGGGGATAAGTCGGGAGATCTTGGTGGCCATGGTAACAATGTGACATCATTATGTTGAAAGAAGTCTATTGTGACTCCTGCAAAATGTGGTCGGGCATTATCTTTTTGGAAAGTTGGATCTGCCAGATCAAGATAGGGTAAAAGATGGGGTTCTAGAACTTCGTGGATATAACGCTGCGCGTTCATGTTACCTCTGATGAAGATTAAAGGTGACCTGGAACCATAAGCTATAGCACCCCAAACCATAACTCCAACAGTGTGATGAACATGTCTTTCAACAAAAAACTGTGGATTCCTCCTTTCACCACGTCGCCTTCTAACCCTTACACCGACGTAATCGCCTTGAGTGGTGCAGACAACGGTCACTCTGGGATCAGGAATGGAACAGTATTGTCTTTAGTGACGAGTCTCGAGTTTGTTTAGGCATGCACGATGGTCGTGCCAGGGTTAGAAGGCGACGTGGTGAAAGGAGGAATCCACAGTTTTTTGTTGAAAGACATGTTCATCACACTGTTGGAGTTATGGTTTGGGGTGCTATAGCTTATGGTTCCAGGTCACCTTTAATCTGCATCAGAGGTAACATGAACGCGCAGCGTTATATCCACGAAGTTCTAGAACCCCATCTTTTACCCTATCTTGACACCCTGGCAGATCCAACTTTCCAACAAGATAATGCCCGACCACATGTTGCAAGAGTCACAATAGACTTCTTTCAACATAATGATGTTACATTGTTACCATGGCCACCAAGATCTCCCGACTTATCCCCAATTGAGCACGTGTGGGATATGATGGGTAGGAGATTGCTCAATTTGCAACGTCCTCCTCAGACTCTAGAAGCACTTCGAGAGGAGTTGGTGGTTGCCTGGAATGAGATACCACAGGAGGACATTGACCACCTGATCAGAAGCATGCCTAGGCGCGTTGGAGAATGCGTAGCACATCAGGGTGCATCCACACATTATTAAAGGTCAAAGGGCTTTAAAGCAGTGCAATCATTTTGAAATTTTTATCGTTTACTTATTATGCTTCATTAAGTACTTATACAAAATTTTATTAAAATAAAACCATTTAAACTGGGTGTTCGGATTTATATGTCACTTAGTATAAATACTCGCTGTATCATCAATGATAAAATGCATAAATTCCCAATTTCTAAGCCTTCTGGACATGCACGCCGATTAGGGGAGGCAATGGGGGCATTCGTCCCCTAGGCTTCAGGAGTAAAATGTTCTTAATGGAGTACCCGTTGCTTGGACCAGCGGTTATCTTTTGCTCCTAAAAACAGCCCCACACAGAAATAGTTTTTACCTCACCGTTTTAAACAGCAACTAATCCTGCTTCAAACAGGCCTGCAAGCCTAACCTGAATCCTCTGAATTTTGTTGTGTGGGAGCCCATGTACGTAGCCAAGGAGGGTAGAAAGGGTGATTCTCTCCCCCTCCCGTATTTGGATTTGGTTTTTTGTACGTTACAGATTTATGTGTACTTGCTAACGACTGTTTCATTTATAAAAGCTAATTTACATACAAAAAGAAAACGCTACAACCAAGTTCTATTCATGATTGTCGATGTTACAGACTAATACAAAGATCTCACTTGCTGATCATCCGTTCATCTCAGAAGACGTCTAAACATGATGGATGGCTTATGTTCCTCCGATATAACTAAGTAAATCGTTTGAGTGAACAGTTAAAAGTTCCAGATTCCAGGGCCACTTCAAATATCACATAACTCAGGCATTATTTAATCGATTTCAATAAAATTTTGCACATTAACAAAGTCATCTAGAAGTAACGTGAAACTAGACAAACGGTTAAAAAAAATCCAGTGCCAGATTCGATTGTTTTTTGCCGGTGTGTTAGCTTCTTTTGGTCCAATAAAATTTTATACAAGAT